TATTTCTGCTACTATCTTGTCTACATGTTCTTCAAATCCTATTACTGACTTGCTTGCTTCAGCTAAAATTTCTTTACTGTATTCCTCAGCTATTTTCTTAGTCATTCTCATCATCTCTTCTCTATTCTACATCTTCTTAATAACTAATTGGTTTGTGTATTTGATGCTGATTTCTATGTATACTTCTGATAACTAATCTTCTATTTGAGGTTTCTTAAGTGACTTCGCCTTTTTTCTAGAATTCTCTGGGTTTTTCCTCTTTGCCAGTTAATTGTCTGGTTTTGGTTATGCATATTTGATTTCCAGTTGGTGCTATGTGATACATAAAATTGATCTAAGACACATTTGTTTGTTTACCTCTTTTCATGTGATTGTGTTACGTGAAGTGATCTATAATACAGAGTATTCACAATTCCTACTTTTTGTAGTAAAAAAGTTTTCGATACATTAAATTATATTTGAACTACTTCTGGCCTTTCTGTTTTCTTTTTAACTTCTTTTTCTTTAACTTAAATATGTGTAATTTTGTAGTCTCTTCTCTTTTTCTTAAAGGCTCAACTATTGTTTCTTAATTAGAAATTAGTGTTTTTTAAGTTTTTCCTTCTGCTCCAAAAATAGTCAGAATGATCGATGGAGAGAGTTGTCTGAATTTAAATTACTTTTAGCCTGAAATAATAAATAAATAATATATGAATTAAGTTACTCACTCTTTAATTTGAATAACTTTAACTTAAATAATCAATTAATTCTTTGATTTGAATAAATAAATAAATGCTTTGTACTAAAAAGAGAATTTTAAATATTGTTGGTTAAAATTTGGTATTCCTGAGAAATTGATCTGGCACAGAAGTGATCAGAATGATCATAATTTCATTTATGTATTTTATACAATTCTCATATTTATTATATTTACTTCACTTTGATTATCCTCAAATCATTTTATTATTTTTTATATTTATTATATTTTTTATATTTATCTAAAATGTATTTAAAGAAGGCAAATTTGTCTAAGTGAAAGAACAGAACCTCTGGGTTTTAATATAATAAATTCTATAAATATCTTATTGTTGTTATTATTATTTCTAAATACTATTCTGTGATTTACCTAAAACGTGACCAGATTATTAAAGAACATATAAAACATAATACTTAGTATAACTTAAAAAGTATATCGAACTCCATTATCCCCAATACCTTAAAAGTAATCTTGTATAAGTAAATTAAACTCTTTGATCCTGATATTAATTCACTTGTTAAGACCTAGTCAATTGTGATTGTGATCAGATAATACTCATTTCGAAGAGTCATCAAAAAGAAATCCTCTTAGTATTGATAAGGTAGAAGTGAAGGAAGGGTCCATCTTAGATAGAGCAGGTAGAAAAGACATTGCTCTTCATCTGTATTAAAGCTAGTTGTAGAGATTTGATGACGAAAGTTATCTTTGATTTAGTATTTAACTAATACTATAAGTAATCTATATAGAATTAAAAGGATAGTTAATTAAGGGAAAATCAAATTACTGTATCACACCTTTAATGATACTGTCTTAAATTACACAAAACTTAACTATAAAACAGAACTGATCCTAACAATATCTTAAATAAAATTAAAAAGAAATTAATATTAAGCAATTTAATTTTAGTGTTGTTACCTCCTCCTTTATTGAAAGTAGAAATAAGAATTAATTCTAAAAACTTCAATTGATGATTGAATTATCATAATTGATTTATAATTGATAATCAAATCCTATATATATGTTATTATCAATATTAATCAATATTAATCTTGAATATAATAATTCTAAAATAATAAATTTTAGAGTATTAGAATACTATACAAGGTTTTTAACATTTATTATCTTAATCAATCAGTTTTAGAAGTTAGATCCATTGAGTCAATTATCTAAATATTCAAATAATTTCTGGATGTTCAGATATTGATTGGATAGTATACTCCTCTGATATAAATTACCAGATTTTTCAAAATTGATGATGATCATCTGTATAACTTATTGTTGATAAAAAAATTTTTTTTATAAAAATTACTATACTTGTTCTTCAAAAATTTTTTTTATAGTTTTATTTGAACCCACTAGTGTGTTCTTTTTTTTTCACAATTTTTTTTTTTACTATAAAACAAAGATAACAGCTTATCAACGAAGAACGCAACTAAATTATTTGTGTTTAGAAAACTATTGTGAAGTAAATAAGAATTGCAGAAGCCCTAAAACTTTCCAGAAGTACCATAAATGATGTAGTAACATACTACAGAAAGGCTAGAAAAGTTGTACCTTTACCTTATTCTGAACAACCTTCTAAAGTAACTGAATGTAGTATTTAATATCTAACTCACATTTTAAAAAAAGACAGAAAGGATACACTAAAGGTTTTGATGAATAAATTTATTAAAACAACTTCTGTAAAGGTATCTATATGAACTATACAATAACACCTCTATAATGAAGGATTTTATGGTTAGATTGGTTTAAGGAAACTATTTATAGATGAGGAGTCTCGTATGACTCGTATAAAATGAGTAGGCGCAAAAGTAGGTTGGAATGAAAGGTAGAAAAATGTTATTTGGAATGACGAATTGAGATTTGAAGTATTTGGAGGGGATGATTATAAGTATGCTTGGAGAAAACCAAAAGAAAACTATGATGTTGAATGTTTAGTTCCAACATTTAAGTCAGAAAGAGTAGGTATAATAGTTTGGAGGTGTTTTAGCATATACAGTCTTGGATTTTTAGTTTGGGTTTATAGTGAATGAATTTGAAAGACTATATAGAAATTCTTGAAACTTGTTATGTACTATATTTAACCAATTTAATAAATGTAGTCAATTAAAAAAATTTTGTGTTTCAAGATGACAATGCTAAAATTCATACTTCCAAATTTTCCCAGAAATGGTTTGACGAGAATTGTATTGCATAACTTCCATGGCCCTCATATAATCCTGACCTCAATCCTATTGAATATTTGTAAGATGAATTAGAGCATCATATACGTAAACATATTCCTCTACCAAGCGATGAGTCAGAACTCTTCAATTTGCTTCAGGAAGAGTAGTTTAAAATCAATAGTTCAATTTTAAAAAATCTTGTTAAAAGTATGCATCGATGTATTCTCACTGTAATTACTGCTAATAGGTACCCTACACGGTATTAAATTATGTAAATAAAATTTATATATATAGTTACTAAATAAAAAAATTTTGACCCAAATTAATATGTAGTTTGTTGAGAATTCACAAATCAAAAACCTGCAAAAAAAAATGATCGTCATATTGTTACTAAAAAAATCCGGTGATTTATGTCAGGGGAGTGTACCTATACCATTTAGATATTATTCAGATAATATCTGGATGATAAGAATAGCCCAAATAGTGTTGGGCAGCATTAAGAATAGCCCAAATCATGTTGGGCAGCAAGAGATTTCGAAACAAATATATACTAGAACGTATAAGAAAAAAGAGTATAATACAGTACATTATCCGGATACTAAT